TTTTTTTTTTTTTTTTTTTTTTTTTTTTTCTCATGGCTGGGTTTTTTTCCTTTGTCCTTTGTCTTTTCCAGGAAGATGTATGAGTTGATGCATCCCAAAAAAGGGCACACTTCTGTACATTTTCTTCCCACCTGCATGAAGTACATGTATAGTGTTTAAATATCTTTTGTTGTTTTCTTGGTAACATGAGTGAACACCCTGCGCTGACTTCATCTACCAATGTGTGAGAGAAGAGCAGAAAAAGAGAAAAAAAGGTTTTTATCTATTTGGGGTCTTTAAGCTACAATTCCCTTCTTAAAGAAAACTATCCTTTATCCTTTAATACTTTTAATCAACTGAGGTTCAAAGATTTTAATATACCCCTAAGATAACTTTTTACATCCACCAGTCTAATAAGAATAACTAACTTTTGGTTAAAATCTTGTAAAGAAAAAAACAGAAATTTCCTCTGGCAGAGCCATGTGTGTTTCAGCAGCTGCAGGTATTCCCTGCAGCCCCATGCTGAAGGTTTGTTTTGTTAAGTTGCACTTCTCTTTGTTTCACCTTTTTAGTCCAATATTTAGTCCTTTTTTCATGTTTTTTTTTTTTTGGGGGGGGGCGATACAGTAGACATGTTTTGTTTGGGTTTTTTTAGCATGGTCTTAAATCTCTCAGGTAAATATTTCATGTATTTCATATTGCAGACGTCCATAATTTTGTTTTTCAGTGGATGGCTTCCCTATGTGCTTATATAGGCTCTATGCAGATACATTTCATTCCCAGAGATGCCAGCATGATATCTAACCTCTGTCAACTCACATCCTTAATGATTAGTACAAGCTTACTTCATTAATATATCTTAGTCTTCATCAGTCGTCACTATCCTTTCATTGCTATCAATTGCAGAGGGTAGACACCATCCATCTTCCCTGCTCTGGGGTCTTTCATTTTCAGATGTTGCAATATCACTTGGCCTGTCATTGTACTAGAATGTTCACTTCTAGAAAAGCCACCTCATGCTTTGTCTTGTTCTCAGCACAGAAAAGTTTGTTAAGGTAACATAATTTCAGGTATTTTCAAAAGATATTACCCAGGCAGGATATCTTCCAGCAAATGTTTATTAAGAGAAATAACATTAAAATGTTGCACACATTAAACCAGTGACCTTTTGCATTACTAGCATAAACAAAAAAAAAAAAAAAAAAGGAACTGAGCTGCTTTTTCAAAGGATATTTTAAGTCAAATGTTAGTGATGACAGTGCTCTGTTGCCATAGAAGGATTGCAACCTCACAGATCTGGCTTTATTACTAAAACTTGCAAAAACACGTTATAAGTAGGCATTTATGTATCTCCACACATGGATGAGTCAGTGTGCTCATGTCATGTGAGCACAAGACAGGAACAAGGGTCCCCAGAGCTGCTAAACTAGCTTACTGTCTAACCTCAGGCAAGCATATGTAATCACTTGATTACAAGCAGTCTTAAGCCTAGGTTACTCTTCTGTAGATCCACCACTAAAAAATGTATGATTCTGTCTGGGAAGGTCCCCTTTCTTTATTTTGCATAGGTCTGTTAAACGGCAGGCCTAGAGATTGTTGATGACAGTGCCAGATGAATCATCAGCCATTGTTTCTGAGAACAGTTTGCAAACAGCTCTGAAGACAGTCCAGCTCAGGCTCTTCCTGTTCCCTGGAGGTAAAGTCAGGCAAGAACTTACCCTGGGAACATAATGTATTCTGGGTTCCTGTGAAACAACTGCCCCTACCCACAGCATGCTTCATGGGTGAAGAGGTTGTTTGTAAGACAGCTGGAGACCAGACAGCTATGGAGCTTTGAAGTGTCGGAAGTTGGGGAGGAAGCGCATGGAGCACTGGTGTGAGATGGTAGTTCATATTTACCACGTCACCTTCCTTGCCTACAAGGCAGACTGTCTGTATCGAGTTAAACAGAACTACAGCAGACTGTGTGTTTCGGAGCTTCAGTCAAGAGATGGGTGATAACTTGCTAATCCAACTTTAAAGACATAAGTCTTTTTCTAAATAAATTTAAAAAGATTGATTTTGCCTTTGCTGTCTTCATAAGCAGTCTGTCCCTGTAGAGCACGAGGCAGCTTGACAGTAGAGTCCAGCAGCCCTCAACAGAGAAGGAAAGCTTAACCTTGCTTCTTATTGATACTGTTTCTCTCCTTCTTGACTGGAACAATTGATCCTTGAGTTTATTTATCTCAGATATTAAAAATGCAAGGGAAATCACTATTTGCATCTTTTGTGAAAAAAATTTGGTATCTAGAGCAAAATCTCACTTTTGAAGCCAACAGTCTGTTGCTATTTCCCTGCAGGTGGTCATGAAGAAAGGATGAAAGGGTAGATATTTCAGACCTTGAGACATTTACTTTCTTGAAGGAAAACTTGATAGATTTGATACATGCAGAAGAATTAGACGTAGTTGAAGTTACACATGAAAGAACTGAGATAGGGTTCAGCTAAAGCTCATTTCAGTTACCTGCTCTGCCATAACTTCCTATATAATTTGGGCACAGCCCTACAATGTACCTCAGTTCTTCATCAGCAAAAGAAAATAAAAGTCCTCTCGTAATCTAAGGAGCAGTCAGGTTCAGTAATGGGAAATTAAACATATCATCCATAATTTGTCAAGGTGGAATGAGCAAAGCCAACAACATTAAAGCTTTCACTGTTACTAAACCTTGTATGTGGCTAAAGTCAACAGTATCGGTATAGATGTTCATATTCTCTAATGTTTACAAAATTCAGTGCCATCAAAACTGAATCCATGCATAGCGTCATGTTTCTTTCCAGTTTCAACCACAGTAGTATGAAGACTAGGACATGAGGAGCTAGTAAGTTTGTTTACTGCAACTCTCTTGATAACTGTACGTGGACATAGGAAATATGAGGTGGAGTTACTACTGCTCAGACCATCATTTTATAGTAGATCCATACCAACTTTTTTATATGTCAGATAGCGTATTTTACAATTTGTGCTTGATTCTGTAGGTCTTTATTTGCCTGTGGCTGAACTACCTGTGTAAGTTGCGGTGGCACTCCATCAAACTGTATCTAGGTACCTAAGTTCAAGATCCCAGAGTGCAAAACAAGTAGATTGATTGATATTTTCTTTACTCAGCCTTATTTTCTCAGACTAAGTAAGACTATTTTGAATGCAGTTACTCTTTGCAGCACAGCTGCAAAAGGGTACCTCACATTGACAGGAAAGAAAGGCTGCTGCTCTGGTCCTACCCCCAGGAGGTTCATGGGAGAGATCATCCCAAAGGATTCAGCACAACCTGTGTGCCTGCCTTGCCACTTCTCACTGCTTTCACTGCCAAAAACAAAGAATGAAGCTTTTTGTTTCAGAGCTAGTTAGTGTGTCCATGAGCTTATCCCTGGAGAATTGTGCAGCTGCAGAGTGATATGGCTAGAGATGGGGAGGAGAAAAGTTTAGCTTAGCTTTGCCTCCCTGTCCCTGGGCAAAATTTGTTTATTACAGTCAAACAAGAATTTGTAGCTCCCATAAAACTTCATTTTTTCTCTTTGCCAAGAGAGAAAAATCACCCCCTTCTCTCAGCAACAATTCCTTCACTTATAATGCTATGGAGCAGTCATTGACTGAGTGTCTATTTCCACTTTTTGATTGGGATCAGCAGCATGTTTTCTTAAAGAAATAATATGTTCAATGAAAAATAAAATTACTCTGAGAAGTTGCAATGTTACCTGAATAGATTACCCATGATATGGATTCACTAGGCCTTACCTTCCTCTGTCATTCCTGACCACAGCACCACATCTGAATGTTCATCCTGCAGGTACCCAACCCCTCTGCCTACTTAAAGCTGCCTCTGTTCTCTACAGAATGTGCTCACCAGCCTTTCAAAGGTGAACACACTAAATCTATCCTTACTGCCTAATTTATTTGAATTTTGTATAAGCCTTGGTTTTGTTTTATTTGGATTATTCTACCTTGCCATTATGCTGCATAATTGAGAGCTGATCATTCTGAGAAACTGGAAGCTGTGAGAGATGCTGATTTAATAGTCCAGAAGACCTGATTCCTTAAGTTTATCTGCAGTGGGGCTGAGCATAGGTAAGGAGAATGCAAATTGCCCACAGGAACACCTCCCCATGGCAATTTAGAGTGAAGTTCCTGGAGCAGAAGAAGGAAGTCAGCCTCACTGCCCACTCAGTCCATTAGGCAGCACTACAATTAGAAGACATTTCATCCAGTAGATGCCATATTGGGACAGTATTCATTTGAACTAAGGAAGAAAAAGGCCATATAATTGAGTCGCTTCTGGATAGGGAAAGAACAAAATATCTTAAGAGTTGGGAAGTTATACTCAGATATACCAGCCTATAACTGAGGTTGTCTTGTAATCAAGCCACTGTGGTTCAGAAAGATCGAAGTGCACAAGGAGAACTGAGACCGCTGATGTCTCTGCAAAACCTGTTCTGTTGGCTTCAAAGCTGTCAGTCTGGCACCTTCTAAGAGCCTGCATTCATTGTATGACAGCAAAATGAAAAAATTGACTCATGGGTGTGGTTGTATAATAGTGACAAATTTGAGGCTAGAAGAATTCCCCACATCCCTTCGTTAATGATCCCCAAATTTCTATGCAAAACAAAAATAATCTCCCTGTTTCAATAAGCTACAGCAAATGAACTTGACGCTAAAACACACCTGTCTGAGTCAGACAATTTTGGAACAAAATGAAACACCCTATCCACCCTAAAAGATGGGGTAGTTTGTTTTAAGAAAAACAGGATTTATAAATAAGGACAATTAGAAGACCTTGTCAGAATTAAAATTAGTCAGCCCAAATTTTCTGAATA